CCAAATCAAGACCCTCCATTTTCAATTACCTTCTTCCCCTCCACGCCCTTTTCAGGATTCAGCCATATATGGCCCTCTAAAGCAAAAACAAAAACAATTGAATACTTCTTTAAAAAGTAACAAAACCCCATCAAAACTCCACACACAGAGACCAGTATGGTGGAGTATATAGCGGTAATTTAATGCCATTTCTGAGTTTCTGCAAGTACGTAAGTGGGGGCTTATGGGTTAATAATAGGCCACAAGGTAGAAGCCAGATTCAAAATTTGAGGATCGGAGGCGCAGCTGAAAGAGAGGGCGACAAAGAATAGTAAATGAGGGTGCAGACTTAAGGGCGTCATTAATATTACTGGAGCAACCTCGTGAAGAAGTTGGGCATTGGATAGAGAGAGAGAGAGAGAGAGCAGCCATTGCCAAAGCCAAAGGGCCTTAGAGAACAGTCCCCACTTTGCAAATATTAAATACTTTGGCTTCATTATATACCAACGCCTTCTTCTCTGAAAATGACGCATCTACAAATTGCTAAAAAAAATATTGCTCTCAGTCTCTGCTGTGCCTGTGGCTGTCTTGCCTTGGTCTTCTCTGCATGATTAATGATGGTTAATATCATACATGAACAGACTACTAAAGTTAGACACTTGGCACATTCAATACAAGGGATGATGATATAGATTTTTATGGATAGGAGCAGGAATTCGTTAAACTAATTGATTCCTAAATAATCTCTTGTAAAGTCGTGCTTTGGTTAAATCATCTATCCTACGCCAATAAATGTATCTGCTTACTAGATTTTGTTAAAATTTATGGTCAACCCAAACTAGTATAGTATTGCGTCACCACAATGTTGAGATGAGAAACAGAAATGTTGTTGAATAACTCCCATCATTTCTTTTGGACTAAAAATAGACTTTCTTTAATCGGATTGTTTTGAATTTCATAGGATACAGAGCAGAATGTTGAAAACGAACCTTTCAGAGCCTTCCCCAAGGAGAGAGAAACGGCGGGTTTTTTTTTCCTTTTGAGTTCAATAATTGCAGATTAGCGATAATATATGCAATAAAAACTATCTCAGATTAGCTAAATGACGGCAGTAATGAAGAAGAAAAATAAGTAAATTAGGGAACTTGGACGAGTTCTCTTACCATTCATATGTTTATAAAGGAAAAAAACAGAGACTGGAGACTTTAATCGGAATGGAGACATGAAGCTGGGAAAAAAATAATTGAACTTTTAGGTGAAAGAATTGATATGAAGTCTATCTATCATACAAGGCATTCTAAAATAACACTTTCACTATAAACTCTCAGTTGAGGGGATGTAACAGAATATCAAACGGCACAAGGAAAGAAAATAAATGTGCAACTCTGGCAAACAGGCTAAAAGTAGAAAGGTGGAGGAGAAATTTTGTTGCAAAAAACTGACATTTGAGTACACGTATAGATCCGGTGGTCTTTCAGGATACGGTGCCTAATTCCCTTGCAGATTTGTGATTACTGAGTGAGAATGCAGAAGATTGATCGATTTCCTTTCTAGATGCCTCCCAAAGCTGTTGTTCTATTCCCAGCTTTCTGAGCTCTATAAGACCTCGTTCAACTGCCAAAGGGGGGGAAAACAAGAACTTTTAAGCTGTTCCATGAAGTTCTAAGTGTTAAATTATATTATTAGATTATGTTATTTGAATAAGATATAGTTTAGATTATATTATTTGAATTATGATTTAGGATTATATTAATATAAATAGGTTTTTAAGTTTGTATCTCAACTTGATGAATAGAATGAAACTCAGTTGTTTATGTATTCTCTATTTTTTTTCTCCTCCCCTATAATTAACAGTAACTTGTATATAGTTGTGCAATAGTGTTTAAGTTTCATCTCAGATAACAGAAACCGAGAAATTGAGGCTTATAGACAAACAAATTACATCTATATCCAATTCTATATATGATATATTTTTTTATATCCATGAGTGTCTGGACCAGCTTACGCACACTTCGACTAATCTCATGGGGCAACCGTCGACCCTACAACATTTAGTATCGGGAAACACATAGGAAATACTAATTCCTAAGGTAGGTGGCCGTCATGGGATTTGAACTCATTTCCTCTTAATTAACCCTAGTCCCTTTGGACCAATGAACCACCTATGTTGGTTTCCATATATGATATATTCATGACTAGAGCATTGGTTGATTTTTTTTTTTATTAATTTATGATCATTAGATCACCAAATGAGATGGTTGGAGACAGCTCTAAACAAGAAGTTCGATAGGGGTCGCTTCCTTTTTAAGGATAAGAACCTGACTTCTTTTCATTAGTGTGAATGGTTAGTTATATTTTACGAAATTTTCTGAAGAAAGGTCATTAGTTACACATGACTGATAAGCAAACTAATTCTTAAAGATACCAGGATAAGAACTGAAATAATAAATTTATGCATTACAAGCCTAGAAGAGCAATGGAACATGTGAATAAATTCAATGATATCAAAGCGAAGAAACAGCAATAACGGAAAATAAGTACATACCGTCCACAGCATCGTGTGAAGTCGGAGGCTGTCCAATACGACTGATCCAAAACTGAAGCCGCTCATCTGCAACATCCTCCTCCACACCATATGCCTTGGCTCTTCGCCAGAAGTACGTAAGCCAAGCCTACATAAATGTTCAAACTCCATCAATTTTAAAGCTAAAAATTTGCAGGTCTTACTCGTATGCAAACATGACTTATTGAAAGATGATCGACAGATTTTTCCATAGGGACAACTTGTTAAGGATGTCAAGATACTGATATGTAATGGGATTGTAAACTTGTTAAACAGTGCACAAAAAATTTAACATACAATTTACATATTCTATAAGTCATGTTTGCATATGATAATATGTAATGTAAGGACAGACTCCTGAGAGAATTTAAAAAAAAAAAACATAATGGCGTAGTGAAAATACCAAAAGAGATATAATGGAGTAGTGAAATTCTCAAAGAGAGAGAGAGAGAGGTTCACTTAGCACAAAACTAAATAATCCTCATGACCAGCAAAAAAGATGGAATAGATAAAACTACCTCTTTGAAAAGAACATCTTCAGCTTCAGCATCACTTAGTTCTGCAAAGAGGGGAGTTCAACCATTAAATAAAAGATTCACAACTCGTAAGCTGAACTTGCACTCCTCGTTTCCTTTTCTTTCTTCTTATTCTTGTTGTGTGTGCACATGTGAAAAATGTTAAAATCATGTACTTTCAAATAAGAATGTCAAAATGTTGTTATTGAACATCTTCCTGTTCTTGTATCGATCCTAGAGTCTGAGGCCAAGGCCAAGGAGTGTTTGAGTACTTAATAATAAATTACTTGATTGTTCAGTTCTAATATTTTAAAAGCCTTTCGGATCAAATTAAAAAGTATTTTTTTTTACATTGGGCACCTCTCTCCGAATTGTTGTCACCTATGCTACAAAGACCCTGAACCACCGGGTCACCTCTTTATCCATTGTGATTTCGCTACCAACTTTTGGAATAGAATACTTGGGACCTTCGGGTTGGCACACTGTACAGCACAACACTCCCTCCATCTTCCTAAATTCTCTTTTGACCGGTCACCCTTTTAGGAAGGAAAAGGGTCTACTATGGGAACAGATAGTTCGTGCCTTCATTTGGAGCATTTGGTTGGAAAGGAATAATCGGATTTTCAACGACACACTTCTCCCTTTTGAAGTTTTTTTTATAGGGTTATTGTTTTAGCCCTTGGATGGTGTAAATGTTATTACCCCCTTCAACAACTACTCCCTATCTGCCCTAACCTATAATTGGCGGGCTTTATTGTAATTAGCCATTATAGCTTTTTGGTTATTTCATACATCAATGAAATACTTGTTTCTGATATATATTTTAGATTACTATTTACTTCAAAAATATTCCTAACACTTACAAATTACTAAAATGACAACCATTAAAAACTAAAAAGTGAAAGAAAATGTAAGAATGAGACCAGCGAGAGAAATATTTGCAAAATAAAGAGAAACTATGTTGTGAAAGAGAGTCTGCCTTGACAAAGATTAGAGCCAAATTGATAAGTCACAAAGCACTTGACAAAGAGTCTGCCTCTCGTTAATGCATTATAGCCACACTTGAACTTTCTCTATCAAGTCAACCACGTCCTATACCCTTATCCTCCCCCACCAACCATAAAATAGAGTAACGAAATACAAGGATCTAGCTAGGCTTTTGATCCCTTAAAACATCTAATGAGTGCGGTGTATAGGGTACAATAGTCAACTTACCAAAAGCCTCAGAAAACTTCGGATCAGCAGGTGCTTTTGAATCTGTTATTAAAAGTAAATAAATAAATAAGCAACACATTCCTATTAAGATTCAATTCAATCTTCAATTTTTAATCATTGCAAGTCAGACAACTCTTGAAGCTCTTCGAGAAATAATTTTTGAAGTTAAAATTCTAAAACGAGTCGCTTTTAAGTCAATGATCAAGTTCACACATAAGGATAATCCATTCACTTTAAGATCAACATATAAAAGAGGACAAAGCTCTAATTTTTCAAAGTAATAATACATCTGATGATTAATTGAGAGGAGTGCATAAAAAATAATTAATCTTCAAAATATCTTAATTGACTGCAAATGCAATCGTTCAAAACGTTTGGAGGCCAATAGAACACTACACAGAAAGTGGGATAAAAAGCTGGACTACCTGATTGATGAATCAAACTTAGTCGTCTATGTTGCGCCAATGCAAGCACTGTTGCATCTTCAACCTGGAAATTTCAAAAAATGAAAAACTCTGAGAAAAAGATTAACATAAGGGCATATCAGTAACAGCAAGAATAACAAGGCAGAATGTCAAGGCAAAGAGCTAACCATTCGCGTCTAAAATCAAGGGAAAAAAACACAAAAGTACGTAGTAGATAATATAATTATTTATTTACGAAGTGGACAGCTATCATAGGAAAAAATTAAAGTTTTTATACACCCAAAAAGGATAAAGAAAGGGGGAAGGGGGGATGGAGGAGACTGATAATAACAAATTTTGAGGAAAAAAAAAACCTTTAGAGATGTTAATTCTCTCAATCCCATTTCAACTGAAAGCATACTCTCGATATTTCCTTCCCCAGATAGATCACTTAAATCCTGGATGAGCTTACTCCTATCTAGATCATTTCGACCTGAAACATGGCATATCCAATATTATTTTTTTAAGGATATAAGTAGATACATGATAACTTGGGGTGGGCGCGGATGCCCCTAGGTATAGGGGAGCAGCTCCGTCTCCCAGCTATCAAAAAGTAGATACATGATAATAAACAACTGGAGCCTAGAGTTGAATCAACCTTCAGGCTCCTCCTTAGCCTTTTGTCCTGCAGAAATGACAACTTCAAATGGCAAAGGAGCTAACGAAGACCAATACTCGTGTTTTGAGATTGCTATATCCGAACATATGCCTGGAAATAAGGAAATCAGAGAAGAGAGACCAAAAAAGAACACTATGAACCTGCAGGAGACAAATTCTTGCAGCATACACAAGTAGCTCAGATGTAACATTATTAAAAAACTTACAAAAAAAGTGAAGAGAGAGAGAGAGAGAGAGAAAGGCAAAGGAAGATATTAAACGATGGCACTCAAAAATTCTTGGGAAAGAAACGAGTCATCTCTTTCCCCACAATCTTAGGTACAAAGACGTTCAACAATCCATGACCAAATTCAACCTACAGGAGTACAAGGGGAAAAAATCATACAGAGTTTTACTGGTTTTCTTAAAGAAAAAAAAATCATTGATATTTGAAAAAGTTACAATATAATAGTCTCTCAACTTCCTTAAAAGTAAAGAAAAAAAGCACCATATCAGAGAACAACCCAAAAATTGTTAAAAGAATCTTCCCAACAAGAACTAGAAAAAGCAGCAATAAAATAGTTTTGACATTGTTAAACCAGCCTTCTTTTTCAAACCGAATACCACCAAGCATAAGAAGGAACAATATTTTTTCACTCCCAGGTCAATGGGCCATGCACACTTGAATCTTTTTTTTTTTTTTGGGGTAAAAAATGAATATTTTATTGGTGATATGAAATATACAAAAGAACCCAGAAGACTGGATTACAAAATAAAAACATGCACACTTGAATCCTTCAAATAATGATACCCAGATTTTTCTGCTATAAGAACAATGAAAGGACAACTTATTTAGTTTCTCTTCTGCTTTCAAACAAAAACTACACTAGCTTGGGCAGAGTACCCAGTCTTCCAGATAAGGGCACCTTCTTCAGAGTTTCTCAGAGGAGTTTCAGCCTTCGAAATATATTAACCATACCAGAATATTAACTTTACTGGAAGACTTAAGTTTCCACGCAGCATATGCAAAATTATTGGACAGAAACACACCACCTACCAATGCTTTAAACAAAGAACTACTAAAGGACCAGCTGCATCCAACACCCACTTTCTTTTGTCTTCTTTTTCAGTAATTGAACCACCCCGACCAGCAGTAAAAGACCACCAAATTCACCCACTGCCTCTTCCCTTGTGGTTCCTTTTACAAAGACTTTCAATGATTTTGAATTTTCCTTATATGCTTAAAAAATAGACACCTCTGTATTTTCTGAAATTTCAAAGATTTTCAGAAAACAAGCAGCCAATGGTTTATTATATTACCTACCTAAACATCTTTCCAAAAAGAAGTCTTACTGCCATTTCTCACCCTTACTAGAAACAATCTTTCAAAAGTGGCTCTGAAATTCAAAATATTTCACCAAGTTCCTTTTTAATTTCATATTTTCTGTGTCATTTGAACTTCCTAACATACGGAGTTTTACTGTTACCAACCATAGACCCAGCCCGATAAAAATAAAAATAAAAATAATTAAAAAAAACGAACCTTTAAGAAAGCACACAACTTAAGCATGCTATGGGGCATTTATAAACTAGAAAATATTCCTTACCATATTGAACAGCTAAGCCCCAGTAGCGAGCAAGCCAACACCTCTTCAGAACAACCTCCTCCTAGAGGGAAAAAAAGAAAAGAAAATATGTTTGAAAGAGAACTTTACAGCTGACCGGAGATATTGGTTCTGTAGCTAAACACTAACCATCTCTTCTTGGGTCAAAATCATTCTCTGTGTCATTACACGAAGAGACTTTGCTTCAGACTCTGCTTCTCGGAGTTGTTCTGTAGCTTCTGACGACTCACCTTTTAAGTTCTGATAAAATAATGACAACGTTATACATCTGAACCAGGAGTCAGGACACAGATCGACAACACTCAACTAGTTGTGTAAATAGATATACTGATCTTTACCTCAATTTCTGAACGAAGGGCAGCAATTTCTTCATCTCTACTATCCTTGGTTGGTTTGGCAGCCTTAAGTGCAGCCTGTATGAATAATAGTCAGAATAGAACGACAAAAAATATGCCCATAATATAGCAAATGTCAACTTGGCCCATTTACTAGAACTAGGATTAGTAATGTAGAGACCAACAAAATACAAATGACTCAATCCCTTAAAACCTATTCCACATGCTGCATGCAGTTACAATCTCAACAAACCTCTCTTTGACGCAAGGCTGCTTCTTTCCTGCAAATAAATTATGTAAAACAATAAGACCTCAAAAAATTCATAAAGAAATGGCAATTGCTACAAGATGCAAACATACCTGCTTAATAATTTAGCTTCCAAGGATACACCCTCTCCAAGAGTAGCAACCTATGAAAGTATTAATATAAAAATAAAAAATATTGGTGAGCAAAATTGTTGAAGACAGGAATGTGAAAAGCTTGCAACAAAACCCAAAGTTTGATTCAATTGAGTGAACTGCTAGCTACACAGGAGTTGAAAAATAACTACCCGATCACATCTCAAGATCTGTGCAGTCATGCACACATATTGCCTCTCTTGCTTTCCCAACCAATAAAAGAAAAAACAGCACACTGTACTTCATATTATAATGGAAGAACAATCTAATGACCACTAAATTACAGAGTACAGACATATCTCTATATTGATGCACTGTGATTTATTTGTTTTTTTTCTCAGTTTTCAATCAACCTATCATCAAAACTAAACTATAGGAACAATAAAAACAAACAAGTTAACTAATACCTGCTTCTCCAGCATTCTAGCTCTAGCCTCTGCTTCTTCCCGTCTTTCTTCTGCTTGTCGAAGCTGTCCAATAAAATCAAGCACAAATCTCAATAAAAAAAATGATATTGTGGAAACTGATACTCCTAAGCTTTCTGGGAAACAGTGAGCAGACCTTTTCAAGTATATTCTCATTCTCTTCTTGTAGCATGTCAAGCTGAAAAAATACCAAAGTCAGATTCAGTGCATTTGACTAAAAAATTGTGGTGTGATTCCATAGAACAAAAGACCAGTTAGTACACCGAGGAAATAGCTTCCTCCAATCCAATGGAGGGTCCATGTATCTAGTGCAAGAGGAACAAATTGATCTCTACATTTATAGTGCTATACCTCATCACGTAGTGCAGAAGCTTCCCGCCGATCTCCTTCATCTTTGGAGTTGACCTGTCCAATATCTGGTGTAAACCTGACAAAAATCACAATAAGAAATTCGATTCTGGAATTGAGCAAAAGTGGAAATAAGAAATCACACTACCCCCAGTGTCATAAGCCCCATTATACACAAATATTCGAGAAAACAAGATGTTGCATGTTATAACAACCTTCTATCTCCACCTCTATTAGAAGGAGGATCAATTGGAGGTATGGAGACTGGAGTTCTGAGTGAAGTTCTACTCGGTGGTACAATCTGGGTAGAACGCACGGACATCGATGATCTACCAGTTGATGTGGATCGAACTGTAGGAACATGCTCTACGAAATTCCGACCTAACTAATCAAAACACCAGAAATTCCAATCGCCTTCCCGTTAGATAGTGAACCACATGCTAATGCTAATACAATTCAAAACGCCTGAAAATTCTCCGCGCAGGAATGATCATAATCTTTACTGTATCCTAGAAGAATCGAAAACAAGCCAAGCTGGCTAGTACAGAGATCTTAAAATCCATGATAAAAAAGAAGGTAGAGAATGAAAAAGCTCGATTCAACTACCTATCTATAATGATGAAGTGTAATGAGAATTGACATCAACCAGTCAGCTAATTAAATCAGAAGAACCAGGGATACCCGAAATTACCGCGGGGGAAGGAGATCTATTAATCCTGGGACCCGAAATCGTATGAAACGAATTGGTATTGTTACTATTCACAACACTTGGATAAGACGAGTGAGTAGGAGGAGGCGGTGGGGCACCGAATCGAAAGCTGAGATCATCGTCTTCGTCGTCCTCCTCCTCCGGGGCCTGCGAGGCCATGACCTGTGCCAAACGCTGAGCAGCCTTCTTGGCGGCAACATTCTGGGCGCGCTTGATGGTGGAAGACGCACCCAATCGAGACTGAGGATGAGCCGGCGACATCGCGGGAGAGGACGATCCTGTGCTGCTCGAGCCACCACTCCACTGCCTGGTGTAAACTGGACTAGCAGGTCGCCGCCGATCCATTTCTGTTTACAGAATTAATGCAAAGTAATTGAGCTGCAGTCGTAAAATTCGCCCAATTTTTCTCGGCGCTAGATTTTCTCGAGAAAATAACCCAGAGATATTCAGAGCCTATACAGTTGGGCGGAGGGGGAGAGAGACTCGGGGTTGACAAAAGAAATACAGAACAACGTCGTTTGATTCAGATGCGCGATTTCGTAAATATGGCGTCAAATCATGAAACTTCTTAATAATAATTAAATAAAAAATTATAATGAAATTATTCGTAATATTGTATCATTATATACATGGAAAGTCTGATTGGGAAATAACACATTCATGTTATAATTTTTCCAACCCTCTATTTTTTACATGTCCAAATAATTGAAGTTTGACGCTATCGTGTTTAGATATAATGCACTTTGTGTAATTAATGAAAACTTAAAGCAACTTGCTATCTTTTATCCTTCCAATTTGTTAATTTAATTAAACAAATCAAATCAAAATTTAAGTTGCAAATTGCATGGATGAGTTAATTAAAATACTAGACATTTCCCAATAACTTTTAAGAACTAATCATGAAGATGAGAAATTTTAACGTTTGACTCTTTGATCGATGATATATGCTTTTCCGTGATGCTCAATATAATTTATTAAGACTGATAAAATTTTAATGTGTATATAAATAATATATATGTTTACTACCTATTTTCTGGGATTATATATCAGAGCAAATTTAGCTCGGGCTTCTGTAATTATGTACAGTAGGTATTTCTTGGGCCGGCCCTTTGTGGCAATTCACAGAACACGTAAGCCTGCAGTCCTGTAATCGGGCCGATAATACTGGATGGCTCAAGAAGCCCGATATAAGAGGCCCATTTGAATATTTGTTAATTATGAAAATAAAATGCCCCATCTACGCCCATCCAAATATAGCATTACAAAGCCCCATCTTCTTCTTAATATCTCTCATTACAAATATAGTTGACATTTGGCTAACCCACAAACTTTAATAGCAACCCAAACCCAATATTTAAGTTCGTCTCTGCAGTTTTTTTTCAATATGGGCATCTTCAACCTACCATTACAAATGCAGGTTTTTAGATAATCTTTCTTTTTTAAAAAAGATTAAGAATCAGTGCTGTATTATTCATTAAGCTATATTTGAATTAGTTGTCCCTAATCTGTAGTGAGCATAGATTAACCTTAAAAAAATGGTAAGATTCACCATTAAATTATTAGATAAAAAATTTCTTTTAAATATCAAACAGGATTGAAAAGCGTACAAACTTTTCGAAGGGGAAAAGTGACAATTTTTTAGGCAAATTGGGTTTATGGTATCAAACAAAATGGACTAGTGGATGGGTTTGGTTGGATTGGAATCAAATTGGTGGGTGGGTGTGGAGTTTTGTTTCGATAGATTTGCGTATCTTCAGGAAGATACTCTCTTCTAACCAAAAACAAATCTCATTTATGAACCCAATTTGGCTCTGTGCGCTTAACCAACAGTGCTCCACTATTCCACTAATCAGTAATCACTCACCATTGATTCCCTCCCGTCCACGGACGGACCTAAAACACGGACCAACGCCCTTAATTCGTCTCAAATTATATAATTGTTTATAAATAAATAACCTTTCGTTTTCTATTTTTTGTTTTTGAAAAATATGTCTGTTGCGTAACAAATTCAATTTTTTTTTATTTTACTCTAAAAATGTTTTTGAAATTCTAAATAAATTTATAATAGGGTAGTTCTAAGAAACATATTTCTATTTGGGAAAAAAATCTGATGCTCAATTTTCTTTTTCCTTTATTTGAAATATTCTTTTTCTAACAAATTTCTTTCTAGTTCTAAAATCTTTTACTGTCTAAATTTATCTCCTTAAAAATTTACCTCTCTCTAAAAGTTTAATTTATGGAATATTTATTATTACGTCTCCCTCTAACATTTTTATCTCTATGTATTTTTTTTTTTTGGTTTAACATATCACTCTCATTTTTCTTTCTCTAAAAATATGTTATTTTCTCGAACTTTTATCTCTTTCAAATTTTGTCTTTAAATATATTTTCAACTTTTTTGTATCTAATTTTTTGTTCGTTTAATTTTCTTTTACTATAATTTTTACTTATTTTCTCTAACCAATATATATATATTTTTCTTTTTATAGTCTGTCTTTTTCTCTCAACTTTAGACTCTCTAAAATTTTATATTTTTGTCTTTAACTTTTTTATCACTCAATTTTCTTTCTCTGAATTATTTTGTTCCTCTCTAAAATCTTTCTTTTAAACGGTTTCTTTTTTTTTCTCTCTAAATTTTTATTTTTCATGTCTCTAATCAGGCACGACAAAAGTTACTTTAGGGTTCGATCTCCGCTCCGAGAATAGGGAATGAACTTTTCATCATGTCTTTACCTTGTCTCATTCCATTTTTAAGTAATTAATATATATTTTATTAATTGTTTTACTAAATTAAAAATTAAGTATCAAATATTTTTTAAACTAATTATTATAATAGTAAAAACCATTTTTCAATAGAAATTATATATATTTGTTACTCTTTTATTTTTTAAATTATAAAAATATTTAAAAATTATTTACTAAACCAGTAATCTTTCCATGTTTCTAGACCCAATTCCATAAATCCTACAACTTAGGACTAAAAATTTATGCAAGATGGGAAAGGGCATCCAGACTCCCCCTTACACCATTGTCATATTTAATTTACATAAAATTCTCTCTCTAATATATCTTTTCAACTTTCTAATATTTTAAAAATAAAATATAAAAAATAATTATCAAATATGTTTGATTTTCTGTTATTGTAGAAACAACAACAAAAAAAAACAGTTATAAAACATATATAATTTTTGTTTCTTAAAAGTTTATCGTTATCAAACCAGATCTAAATTAAAAATTTTAGAATATAAAGATTTTAATTAAATTGTTAAGGCATCTTACAACATCTAAAGAGCTAGGAGGTTACATCTCTAACTTTTTTTTAATTTTTTTAATTTTTATCTCAAAGTGTGTTTTGTAAATCAAATATTCACTGTACATAAAATTATGGACACTTATTTAAAAAACCTAGCTACTAGAATCTCGACCTTTATAAAAGAAGTTTAAAAATATTATTSGAGATAATCTTTCGAATTAGATTACCGTAAAATATTCCACCCCCAAGGGAACCAAACCGGATGCGCTCCAAATAAAATACTCTGGTATACTAACCATAGTTATAGTTGTGTGAGTGGTATAAGAGATGGATATATTTTTCAATTTCTTTTCTTTAATGTGAAGTAGGTGTTTTTTCCATTAGTTGTAATTAATTAAACCCAAATAAGAGATTAAAATCTTTCGTCATTAAACTCCAACCTGCCAACTGAATGAAAGAAAAGCTTCATTTATCTGGGCCGTACGCGAGAAGTAAATAAAAGACCCTGGAGACTGGAGTCTGATCAGTCGAGTCGGCACAGCCACTGCAACATAATCTCCAGGTTGATATGAATGAACCAAAGAGATAAGAAGATGATTTTATTTTTATTTAGTTATTGCTCGCACATTTTGATGGCCACATTACAACACCTACGTGCAAATCTCAATAAGTTCATCTTTCTTTGTCGTCTTCCATAATTTTATACATATTTTTTTAATTTCCCATGCAACGTCCCAAAGCCATTGAATTCATCCGCGTTGCAAGCCGTGGCCGGCCTTGGCTTTAATTTGAATATATGGGGCCAACGCCAAAAAGTTCATAAACAAATGCAACAAACGTGAGACGATTGGAGAGACGCTGGATTAGATGTGAGATCTGATCTCGGGATGTTTTTGTTTGGCAACTAAGAAACGTGAAGAAATAATACTGAGAAAGAAATTAATTAAAGAGAGGAAATAATTTATAAAAAAAAAAAAAAACTGAAATTTCTCTGTTTAATTAGTGATTTTGAATCATATATGACACTTGTATTATTTTGAGACATGTGTATCAGAATGAGGATCTGATCTATGACTTTCTAGAGCATGTTTGGCGCATCTATATATCAAACTTTTATAAGCAATCTATATATATCTTCAGTGATTTTAATTGTTTTTTGGGTATATACAACATTAATTTAGAGAGCAATTATATATACCGTTTTTTTTAGACTATTAATGGCTTGTCTTAATTATATATTGGTCAATAGACTTATCATGAGAAATGTGGCTCCTTGATCAGTAGAAACCAATTCACTAGTACTGGAGAATTATATGAAGTTGTAAAATTAATCATTTTAACAATTTTTAACCTAAGATTATATATGGTGATCTGTAGTAAAAACCAGAGAGTCCCCATATTAAGTTTTAGTTGCACAGTTGAAAAAATATTAAAAAACTCACTCAATTGCAAGTTTGATATTTAGGAAACCCTTTTCTTTCGTTCCTCTCCTCTCAATTCAAGGCAATGGACTCTCAGTCCTTTGTTCCCTCGACCGGCTCCACTCTGAATCCCCTGTAAACCCCCATTATGTGGTAAAGGGAGGATATTAGGGAAAGCAGTGAGCCCCCTTCCATTTGGCCTTTCTTCGCTGTGTGAATAAGGTCTTAGTATGTATGGCCATTCTGGGCGGGTCGCAATAAGTCGCTGGTCGAAGGTTTGGACCAATCGCAATTCATCACCATCTTGCCCGCTTCCAATTGATGACTGGCTATTAAATATTCTGAACCCAAGATATAATTATACCTATCTTTCTTAATAGACTTTGAATTTTTTTATATATAGAATCTTTTCCAAAACAACAAGAATGGAGATTCGAACGTATCTCTTTTTATTAGATATATGTCTTAATCAATTAAATTAGACTTAAATAAATATATATATATATATATATATATATATATATATATATTATTTTAGAATAATGAAGAGTTAGTAGCTAATAAATGTCTAACAACACAAGCAACTAATATTTCATTTCTTTTGTACTTCCTTGAAGTAAAATTTTCATTTCATTAACATCCTTCAAATATATATTTATATATATATATATACTGACACATTTTCATAAGTTGAAAAGTTTGACATAGGTTTACGAAATAAATGCACTTTTCCCTGATGCATCGTGCATATGTGTTGGCAAGATGTTAAATATTATAATAAATATCAACAATACGAGTATGTCAATAACAACAACAATCACTAATAATCCATATTTTTCATTAAAATTAATTAAGGGTATTTTTAATGGATAGTAAAAATATTTGTCAAACCTGCAAATATATCAAATTTTTTATACAGAGTATGTCATTGCCGATGTACTTGATATTAGGTATACCAATGATATAACTAATATACTTGATATCACCGATATAACTAATATACAGCTAATATCAAGTATATTAATCACACTAAATATGATATAATTCATTCATATTATGTATATCATTGGTAAATATTTTGTTGGGTTGAAAATTTTAGTTTAAATAATATTGTAAGTTTTTTTTATTGATATATCAAGTGTATACTTCTTATACTTCATTTTAGTCATATCACTGATGTGCGTGCATGCGTGTACTAGATATCAAGCATATTATTGAGAGGAGTATAACCGACTTTTTCCATTTGTTTTATTTAGGTTAGACGTCCTTCAATAATTATTAATTTTTGCTATATTACAAGCGGCTCTAAAATGAAGAGAGTTCAACTGTCCATATGATTATAACTGACATCTTGCTTCTTTTCTAGAGGTTGGAGTTTCGATCTTCCCCATATTTATTGTATCCAATAAAAGTAAAGGAGCTCAATGTTGAATATTGAAAGGATGCATGTTAGGCCTACGTGAAGTAGGAAGTAACATTGATTGTTATGAGTTCCGTAATTCAGTTTTGTGTAGAGAGTACAATTGGGCCGAGCTTAGAAGGTAGCCTGACAGTCCAACAAAGCTGCCGACAAAGCCCCTTATTAGAGCTTCACATTTTGACCTGTAATTCGTTTCTTTACGTTTTTCTCCTTTTTCCTCTGATGGAAAATGACGCAATAGTCTGTCTCAAAAACCTGGACTCAGACGTGACATCCATTTCCTGCATTCCGATATTTCAAGGTTATCTTCGTTTATATATTTTATTTATTCCAAAAACTTCGTCCATTCCTAATAATCTATGATTCAGTAGTCTCTATTATGTATTAATTGCTCTTATTATATACACGTCTCGTTTAATATCACTAGTGGAGTTGTGATTCATGAGGCGAATTTCAACGATTTATAAAGTTTTTTGTTTGATTTTTTGTCACACAATTTTAATTAGTTTGAATTTACCAAGCATGAGATTTAGAAGTGTATACTTATATAACGTGCACTTTCAATTGTAGTTTTATTTATGAGTCTATAAATAATAAAAGTTGTTAATGGATAAATTTGGTTTTTAYATGAATTAACAAATTTACACCACTCTTTTCAAATAAAACGTCTTTGATGAAATCTGCAAAACAAAAAGATTACACATCAGTGCGTGACATTCTGATGCAAAGTTAAAAATGGCTTATGTGAAATCTAACAAAAAGTAGATTTTGTTGCATACTTTAATTGTGAGTATTTACCGCTAAGCGAGCATAGCTCAGCGGTATTTGACATATATCTCAAACTACAGAGTTGTGAGTATGATCCTTCATCCCCACATGTGGTATTAAAAAAAATTGTGAGTATTTACCCTTTATTTGCAGGGTAGAAAACCTAGAATTGAACTTTCACTTGATTGGCTTATCGTGGGTCAACCGGCCCATGGGCTAGTCGACCTTAAGCGGGTTGGCTTCGACTGGTCGACCAAGTGACCGATCAAGCCGCACCTGTGAGCTGGTTGGTCCACGGCTCCTTGGCAGGTTGGCCTCCAACATGTTGTCTATGATCTTGGTCCTTGGGTTATATTATCCATCCTTTTAGGCTTTAGCCTCTAAATTTGTGGGCGACTCCTTCGAGACTAGCCCATGGGGGTTTGATTACTTTGCGTCATTCTCTTGACTTGTTTTCTTTCACCCCTAACAAAAGTTATTGGTAACAAAAGTTATGGTATAATTTTTAATGGGTAGTAAATATATTTGTCATATTTGTAAATATAATAACAATTTTTTTGTTCACAAATATGGCAAAAATTTTGTCGTTTTTCACTATTTTTCGAATTTTGTTATCGTTACTGATATATTTTATATTATGTATCATTCTAATATGAAGTATATCAGTCACATTGAATATATGAATGATATTGTTTATATTATGTATATCCCTGATAAATTTTCTTCAAACTGGAGATTTTGGTTTATGTACCATTAGATTTTTCTTATTGATGTATCAAATATAATAGTGATATACTTTATTTTAAGTATATCAGTTATATAACTAATACAATTAATTTGAAGTATATCGTTGACATATTTAATTTGAGGTTTATCCATCAAACTACCTATATAAATTATATACTATATATTAAATATATCACTGAAAATTTTTATTATGGCATTATTGGAGTTTTGATTTAAATCATTGCATATTCTTATCTATATATCAATATATCAATAATATATTTATTAATTTCAGGAATATTATCAATTTTAGGAATATTAGTCATACTTGATATTAGTTATAAACGAATATATAATCGAACTTTTTTCTCATTTGGATTGGACCTCCATTTTTGTCGGCTATATTTGCACATAGAAATCTTGTTTGCTTTATCTTTGTAATTAACTATTAATTTCTCTTCTATATCTGCCAGCCGCCTACGAATTAGTATATAATGATACAAAAAGTAGATTTCGCGAGTATTAGTTTTAGACCATAGATTAGCAAAATTGCTAGTCCTATTTTAAAAATTTGTTCTATATTTAAAAATCTCAAAAAATAAATCGGTGACATGTTTTAAAATATATAAAAGGTTTTTCTGTCCACTGCTATTTTCTTTAAAAGTAATGGATTATACAAATAAATTTGAGTATATTCTTTTTATATCCCATCATTAAATAAAATAACTTTCTTTCAAACTATGTTGTTACAAGAGAGAGAGTTTAAAACAAAATGTTACATTTTTCTGATAAATAAAGGGTGTGGGTGAATTTAGTTAAATGGATAATAAATTATACTTAATTTGAAAGGTTAAGCTGATGGATTGGATAAATTTAATTCTCTGGAAAAAAATAATAATGCATGGGTTTAAATGCTTAAGCTTAAGCTTTTGGGTTGAGAATCCATGTAAATGAATTAAATTTACACAACCCATCAACTTAAACTGTTGAATTGAGGGACGGTTTATTCATCATTCATCTGGTATCTAAGGATTCCAGATTGATAAAAGAAGGGACCTTATATTACATAGGTCTATTATAGACATGAGCTACTCCTTTCATAGCCAATTGGTTTTGAGATGGAATTTCATGCATGTTAATATTATATGATGTTATTAATATCTGAGTAGTTGAATAATAGTTGGCGTGAAAAACTTATTACAATTAAGAGTAAAAATATACTTATAAAACAAGAAGGTTGTGATTATTGAGATAAAATAGCATCTCTAAAACACCTGTGATAAATTTTCTATTTTGATAAATATTTCTCCGATAAAGAATCCCACCAACGAAATCATGTAACTAAGATATAATCCACTTGCAAAATTCTCTCTCCAAAAATTAGCTTTACCTTAAATTTAGAATTAGTTTGAAACCAATTTCGTTTAATGCAAGATATCAATTAGAAAAATTTTGACCTAATTACAAATATAGTTCGACAAGTCAAAAACCGTGTCATATATATCAAGATGTCTCTAATGATATGTCAATCTATTCAAAATTCAATTAGTTGAGGCGCACACACATATCTAATTGAAAGGTCGTTATATCAAATCTCCATCCCAAACTTGCTTCGATAGATGCTTACATTAATATAAATATGCAAAATCACTTTATCTATTTTCATAAACTAATAGTACATTAGGATCCAATTTGTAGTGTACTAAGATTTGAGTACTAAAATATAAAAACTCTAAATAGAGATAAGGGCTAACATAAATATAATGAAAGTTGAAGGACTAGAAAAGAAATAATCTGGAATTTTATAATCGAAGTAACAAGGAAAAAAAAAGGTGTGAAAGAGTGATAGGTGTTGGTATTTACAAGTTTATCCAATGGGTAACGGGCAACGGGTACTTCTTAATTAATGCACTTGTTTGTATGGACAGTTTGACAGAGACGCTTTCTCTTCGGTGCTATCAACAACCGGCTGCTTGCCCCACCCACTCCCACTCTCTCCCTCTCTCTCTCCATTTTTTTTTTCTCTCAACTTTAGTTTATACGACGTCACGTATATTTGTGTCTAATCATAGGTTAAAAATTAAGAAAAGACTTTAAATCGTGGTCTTACTCTTATCCAATGAAGAACTTCATTACCCAAATAAGACAACTTTAATTTTTACCTTGTTTACCATATCAACTGATGAAGTGGGGAAAAAATTACTGTTTATACTTTTTAGGTCAAATAAAGCTGATATGATATGACAAAACATAAATGTAGATGTTTAAAACAATATAATTAATTAATAAACAAGGAGTCGACACGCGGGAGTTTAATGTTTTCTTCTGAGAAATAGTTGTCACCAGCTTTCGTCCTATAACGAAAATTGCCTGACGGATCCAGATGAAATGAAAAGAAAGCAATTACGTCGTCTGGATATATAGTGGATTTAATGATCATCTTCTGCTTCTTCTTCTTTTTATTTATTTATTTATATTTAATTTATTAAATAAATATATGAATTGAATTGAATATATTCTCCCTTTTTACTCTTTGGAAAACAAGTCCACCACACAGAAACAGGCTCAGATCAGACCTTACCCAACCCAACCCAAGACCAGTCAATTATACACTGAAATCTTGCATGGGAATGCGTTTCTAAAGATTTCACCATCTTCTCTCTCCTTCTCTTTATATAACCCCTCACCCTCTGAGCATTTCTTGCACTGCCCACTCACTTTTTTCCACACCTCCATCATTACTCTTCCACTGCTCCAAACACAGAGAAATATATGGCAGCCTTTTCATATCAATACCAACCGTTTCTCCTTGACTCCGTATTCATGCCCACCAATCCCCTAAAAATGGCTGCCTTTTTGGATGACCCAAATTTCAACGCCAATTGCTTCTCTCAATTCTTCCCCCAAGAACCACCCATCCACCATTTCTCGCCCGACCTCTCCAAACAGAGCCCCGAATCTTCCACTCTCGTCGAGAAATCCGACAGCGCCGAGCCGCCGCAGCTCAAGGCCGTCACTGTCACTGTCACTTCCCCTTGCAGTAAGAAGAGGAAGAGCCGCAATAATAATTCCTCCGCCAGCTCCACTCAATCCAAGGTGATCACCGAAGTTGAAATATATTTTTTTAATTTATGTAATTTCTCTGAGATAATTTGTGTCTAATATAATTAGTGTGTTTTGGGTCTTTTTAGGGCGCCACGGAGAGCACGGGGAAGAAGCAGAAGATGGCTAAGGGGGAAGATGAAAGGAAAGAAGGAGATCAAAAGCCCAAAACTGGGAAGAAAGAGGACAAGAAAATTTCAGAGGAAGGTTACATTCATGTCAGAGCCCGTAGGGGCCAGGCCACGGACAGCCACAGTCTTGCAGAGAGGGTAAGTTCTAGTAATTAATTAAAATAATTTCAAGGACATAAAAATTATAAGGATTAATAATTAACTTAAAACAAACCCCACACGCTAAAAACGACATGTCGTGTCATTTCAGGTGAGACGAGAGAAGATTAGTGAAAGGATGAAGACATTGCAACGACTTGTTCCGGGTTGCGACAAGGTAACAAATAGTTCCATTTCCAATTTCATTCTTAATTCTCCATGGAAATTAAATTAAATTAAATTAAATGGGTCTTATTTTCTGACATTGCCCATGTGGGTTTTGGTGGTGAATAGGTAACAGGGAAGGCCCTCATGTTGGATGAAATTATCAATTATGTGCAGTCCCTACAAAATCAAGTCGAGGTACACCATTTTTTTCATTTCAAATTCTTTTTTTAGTTACAACTTTGTTATTAATTACAAATTAATTAATTTCTCTACTTTGGTTTCAGTTTCTCTCCATGAAACTCGCTTCTTTGAACCCCATTTTCTTCGACTTCAGAATGGACTTGGATGGCCTCATGATCCAGCCAGAGGTAATTAATTAAAAATTACCCTTAAAAGAAAAACAGCTTAATTAAATTAATTTCTCGGAACTTTGTCTAATATATTTGACATTTAAACAGACGTCGTTAAGTAGTATAACTCCACAGTTGCCGGCCATGGCTCAATGCAGCGTCGTCCCACCGCCGGCGTTGATCGACACCACCACTCCGACAACCCCATCTCCGGCAATCTCCGCCGCGAGTAGCTATCCCCTGATGGACCATTCAGCTAATTTGTTTCTTCTTCATCAAGGGATGAGCCCAAACGCCTACTCTCAGTCTCAGGTAAAATTATGTTCCCATATCATTATATATTTATTGGTTTTTTTTAGGACATTAAATAACAAAAAAATAAAACTTCCTTTTCAGGATAACGTTAAAGTTTCATCATGGGATGTCGAAGACCAGAAACGAAAGCTTCTTATTTCCTCAGGGATTGGCGACAATTTATGTTACTTCCATTAAAGAATTACTAAGAATTTGAAATTAAATTCTCTCCATCCCTCCACCTCATAAAAAAAAAAAAAGGAAAAAAAAAAAATGGAGGCGATTCGATGGAGTGAAAGTGGACAGAGAACAATGAATAAAGGGAAAATAGCAAAAATCAACGGACAATGGACACAGAGGATCTGATCTTTACAAGACATTAATTGTTCCCTCCCATTTTAGTCATCAGAGCTCTGTGGACTGTGGCTGCTCAAGTTTGGAGAATCTGTACTGATTTTTTTTCTTCTCTCTTTRGAAAAAATAAATTTATTTCATTTTTAATGTATTATTAGAGGGTTAGTTAGGTAAAAGATCGTATAAAAACTCATTGATTAGCCTATATCATTTTCATTTTGTGTATGTAATTTTCATTCATCTGTTAATATATGCAATTTTTTCCCCTGCTTCTATCAAACACCATATAAACTCAAATTACAATGTAAAAAACACACCTTTCGGCTCCATTAATTAATCTGAATAAATTATGATCGATTAACAATAACGTCAATATCATAATTAAAGAGGGAAATATTGGAGGAATCTTGAAGTTGGTTTGTTTTACATCATATTTTGGAGGTTACTGATGCATAAGATGGGGTTTTAATTTTTATTAAACATGCAGTTATGTGAACAGAGCATCGTGTAGGGTTTTGTCTGGCGAGTTGCCGATGTTGTCAAACTTCTACTGTTTTGTGCTCATACAAAATGCCAAAATATATTAATCACTCATTCAATCAAAATCATGTTTTCTTTATAAATTTCCTTTATTTCCTTTCCCTGTTTTTTTTATCTTTTCAAGTTTACACAATCAATTATAAATAATATGTAACCTTTAGTTTGAATATGATAGTTTAAAGTGTCATAGTTTATATATTATGAATGGAAAGTTTAGGAGAATGGGTGTCAGAATTAACTGAGTGATACTTTTTACTAAAGTTTTTATGAAACTTTTGGGGGTGACATAGACAAAAAGGAATAATTTTCCATGAAATGGGAAAAGGGGTATGTTTCTTTTTAAATTTTTTTTTATTGTCTATTTGTCACTATTTTTTCCACCATTTGTTCTTTATTTGATTTGCTCTGTTGCCAACCAAATCTCTCTTTTTTCCAAGATTCCATGTGAAGAAATCCTAAGAGGGTCATCCTGTCCAGATACACATTATATATTAATTCATCTTCTTGAACAAAATTTATATGTACCCAGTGCAACAGATTTGGAGGCAGTTATTGTTGGTAAAATAATGAATAAATAAATAACATGGACACTAAAGAAAAATGTTAGTGAATAAATATGGTTTTTTAAAAACATAAAAAAAAAATGAAAACTTTATGAAACAAAGCAGGTAAAGATATCATCTTCCATGGTTGGCAACCTAACCATGGTTTTCCTTTTTATAAATTATAAATAAACAAATAAAAGGAAAAGTAAAAGGAAAATGAAGATATAAATTTTTAGAATCCCATTTTCCCATGATGTTTCTCTATCAATTTCAAGTCTATTCTGACCTTGTGCATGTTTCCCACGAGAGAATTGGTGAGATTAAAGTAGTTTCTAATTTGATCTCATAAAATCCCATCTCTCACACTATCAAAAAGACCATAATTTCTACTTAAATTTGTTACACAAAAGATCACAAAATAGAATTTTAAGTAGGAAAATATTTGTAGGAAAAAAAGGAAAAGAAAAATTACCTAACAACATCCTCTACGTTATGAACCGGTAAGTAAAGAATTGGAAATTAGACTCTAAAGTAAAATTGATTTTTCGAAAAGAATTTAAAATTACAACAGAGCCACGAATTAATACAATGACATTATGAGAAATATACAGCTTGACGTAAGAGATAAAAACAAATTCAATTATTGGCATTAATTGCAGACGGCGAATGAAATGTTTTATTAATTATCAAGTAATTAATCAGGTTTTGAAGAAGCTTATTCGGTAAAATGATCATCGAGACTTTGGCTTTATTTCACAGCAGGCATGGCAGGTAGATCCCTATACCATAACAGTGTAGACGTGGACTTTAGTCTTGGATAATTGAACTAGCTCTGGCAAGCAATAACCCTAGAATTTTTATTTTTTTTTAAAAAAAAAACCACATAATTTTGCTTCCTAATTCTTTAAAAAGTTACAAAATGAAAATTTCATCTTGGCCAGATAAAATGGTAAATCATGGATACATAAAGTGAGAGAGACATGCATCTTCCTTAGTGCCGATGAAATTATGAAAATACAAAGCCACCGAGTCCAAAGTAAAGAATATTATGTCCATCGTTGACTGTGAGGAGTGTCTCTGTTATCTCTAACAAAATGGTCTCAGAGTAATGCCTCTGACTTAGAAGGAGTGAGCTTCAAAAGATATAGTTACAGTGTAATATGTGTTCTATCGAAATAAACAATGAGAATAGTAGTTGATCATGTCTATTATAAATCATTGTAAATGTTTTTTTTAATGTGCGGTCATTAACATGCCCTCTCAAGATTGTGACTCTTTTGGCTCACCGATCTTGGCCGAATCCTATTTTTTTTGGATCGGATGTTCGTTTGAGCTTTTGGACTCTACTACTAAATCAATCAACATAGTTTACATCTCAAAATCAATTAACTAGAATCTCATATTAGTTGGATAAAGTAACATCATGATGTATATTAGTAAAAAGAGAAATCTTCATTAAGTACAAGGTCTTTCGAGAGAAACCACGGTTCTAACAAGTTTTCTAAAGAAATTATTCATAAACTCAAAAACCTAAGAATTAGGTTATTAGTTTAGAATTTTATTCCATAGAATTGGATGAAGATCAAGATTGGAATTAGGCAAAAGAAAATCAAAGGGCATATGCAAAATCTGTTTATTCCCTTAAAAGAAGTTCACATCTTATGGATATAATCAAATGGGGTTTCCTTGTTCTGCACCTGTTCTCCACACAGCCCCACATGTTGAATTGTTCTCATCATGATAATTTTGGACCCCAAAAGTTGATCTTCCATATGTCCTATTCTACAAATATATATTATATAAGAATCTGACTGCTCCTTTTTCCTATATTTATAGTAAAAAAAATGGCACCCCCAACTAAATTTAAAATCCCAATGCCCTCCAATTTCTCTTTGTTAAATAATGAAAGTTGGATAATTGGATGTCAAATTAGAAAAAAGTACACTAGATTATTTATACACTGCAGGGGTTGCAGTCTTGAGTCTAGGTCTATATATAAGAAATAATAAACAAAAATTATAGCTGGAAATTGTGTTATTAGAATTATTTGCAACCCACCAGCCCATCAATTTCCTCTTTCAAGGGACCCTCCTGTTGTTTATTATATATATCATGTAAAGGACCTTTCATATAAGCCCTTTCGGTACTGCCCTGACCATGCTTGCCTTCTCCCAACACATACACATAAACCCATCTAACTTAACCTCCTCTCATTCCAATTGGATGGATATTGTATTAAAGATCGTCTTACATTGAAAAGAGAAGAAACCCAACAAAGATTTATTATAGAATGTTCATATATTGATATAATTTTAGAACTCAAGAAACTCAAACGAATATCCAATCTCTCGTCCAAAAATGGGATTAAGTTAGAATTGGAATTTCATGGATAGTCATCACCCTTATATGATAAAATAAATATTAACTATAACAATTAATAGTGAATATTTTGGTATCTTATTAGAAAAAGGAAAAATCCAATTTTCTCAAGTGTATGGAAGATATTCTTTGTTTTATGGTTTTGGGGAATTAAGTTATATATTTTCTACGTAGGTTTTGTTTGTGTATTTATTTGGTACAGTATCGTCGCCATCTAATTTGGATGGGAGATACCGAGGAGTTATCGCAATCTATTTTTCCTTTTTCTATTTTCTATCGTAATTTATAATTTATTTATTTTATTGAATTTGGTGTGTGAGATAGCCGACATTCATGTATGGTCTTGTTTCTCTCAGTTTGGCCTATGTCTTGTACTATTTCACAACACCACCTCGAAATTTCACCATCATCGTTTGACTCAAAATGGTTTTTATTTTTATTTATTTATTTTTATTTCTGTTGGGTCCATTTCTTTTCATATTTCACTGGTATGTTTGGGACAAGAAGTAGAATCTCTCCATATTTATTATTTAATACGACTCTGATTCATATTTATTTTGATAACTTATTGTGTACCTACTTTTTTAAGCCACTAACCAATCAACTGTTGGTAATTAGTAATTGCAATAATTAATTAGATCAAGAGATAATATAAGTTTTTGTTTTTCTTGCTTTTGGGGTTTCCCCCTAGAAGAATATATATATTATTTATATGAAGAATCATTCGATAATTGATGATATTAGTATCAAAATCTTGACCACAAAGGCAATGGGCGGGGCAGATGGGAACAAAAAACAGAAAACGACGTGATGATGAAGAAAAAAACTTTTACATTGGCTTAATCCTGATCTTGTTTTTGTGTGGGGGGAAATTTTTGTTGTCGAAATGCGAGTCAGAGAGATCTTTCTTCTGTTCTTGATTAAGAGGATCTATGAATGAAATGAATCAGAGCCAGTGAGGTCTTTTTCCTCCCTGCTATCTTTTCACTGAAAAGGAAAAGGGAAGTACTTTGAAGATTTCAAAATACAAAACACAGTTTCTAAGCCAAAAAATAAAAAAATAAAAACCCCTAAAAGGTCAGGCCATAGAATTGACCACTCCGTCTCGCTCCGACTCTCTTTCCTCGAAACGTCATAGAAGACGACACAAACAAAATACTTTAAGAGTATAGTGTCATCTCCGTCCACCTTTATACTGTGATTCAACATAATATCACAAAGTAGAAAATTCTATTTATCTCAATTTTGGTACTGTCGATTTTTTTTATATTTCTAATCAATATTGGCAACCAAAGTCTCCTATTGACTAGGAAGAAAAGAGAAATGCTCACGATATATAAATGAAAGACAACATCTACATAATGACAAGGACTTTGAGTGATGTTTAAAGTAAAATCATTAACACTTGTGTCTAAAGCGTGGACAATATCACATACAATGGGGAGATGTAAAGAACGATGAGGCAGAGCAAAAGGCGATGTGGTTGCAATCGTGTTCGGCAACATATTAAGTGATGGGCGACCCAGAAGGGGGGGCTGGGGGAGGGACCAGTGGGTTGGAGAGGGCGGTGGTTGCGGCCAAAATGGGACCAGGGTCCACTGGAGGCAACCCCCTATGGCTCGGCCCCTCAGCCATTGAATTGCCTTGTCCCTTTCCCTCTCTTGACAACAAATAATATGTGTCCACATCGCTCAGCAGCTAATCCTAACTCATGCATGGGCTGTCCCAAACGGAAACAACACCCCAAGAATGCAAATAAAAAACTTATATCATCCATATATTATCAATTAATTAAACCATAAAACCCAATCTCCATAATTTAAAACTACGAATAAAAATGAGAGAGAGAAAATAAGATGATCTTGGCGACCAAGAGCAAGCAGCAGTTGAATATGTTTGGTTTATGTAGTTTTACAATAAATATATAAACATGCATGCACCAGGCCCTCTTCTATATACATATATTTATAAACTTTTGTCAACTTTGGTCGCCGTGCAGCGCATGCAATTGGTACATATGTTGGATAAATTAGGGTTTTCTTTGTTTTTGTCTTTTATTGATTAATTACCATATAATTATGTGTTTTGGACTGATTGTAGCTGTCTGTGGATGAATTTTAATCAATTTGGAATGAAATATTACGTACATTATTGATCAATTCCTTACGGTTTAATCTTCAAATAAAAATGGGTCAAAAGAAATTAAGTTTTCAGAGCCCCACTCTTTGACATTTTAGTTACATTTTTTTGTACCTTCATCCAACTATATGTATGGGCTTTTCAATCTAATAATTAATTGCAATTGTTCTACTGCTCATTTAATTAATTGGATGCCATTTTTTTTTGGTAGGCTTAAGAAATTTTTTTGAACTATCCTTTTCAATTTAATGGTTATTTTCTGACTTTTTAATCTTTTTGTGGGTGAGTAATTTAATAATGGAGGAAGAAGAATATATAATGCTGTCTCATTTCTAATCTCCCCTCTTCATTTACTTGAGATTAAGAGAACTATTCTTTTGCAAGAAAATTAAGAATTATTTTCATCCTTTTCTTTCTTAGACCGTATTTTGTTTTGCAATAAATCATAAAAAGTATTGAGAATATTTGAATCACAGTCTTCTTTTTATTTTACATAACAAATTACAAGAGTTGGGTTCAAATTTTCAACCCAAAACATAGATGCTTTTAATACCTAGCTATAGTTGATTAATGATATGATGTTACAATTGTGCACGAGAATACATTAGAGTTAGAATATAAGAATATTTAAATGCTTTATGTGGATCCCACTACATTTTTTGCTTAGTAGATAAGTTAAAGATTCATTATTTGATCAATAATTTGACAAAGTCCGTGAACCTCGATTCAGGTGGAAGTTGACCTGACAGATAAGCTGGAACTCTAGCAAGTGGAGACTTGCAAAAGAGAAAACAGTGATGTCCAAATTAGTGAATGACTCAGCTATATCGGAGAGAGAATATAGTTTTGCGTCCTTGGAATAAGGAGGAAGGTCTTTATTTATAGGCTTCCGATTGGTCGTTCGACAAGTCTCTAATGATCCATTAAGGTTTTGAGGATCACAATGTGTTGTCGTAGAATGTGTCGGAGAATTGATCTTGATGGAGTGTTTTTTTCATCGACACGGCTGGTAGAGCAGGATGTCGATGTGTGAAAGGTAAGGTTGGCTCGACCTACTTGTTAAGGGGGTTGAACTGGGGATCAGTTTGGCTCGGCCTATTAAGTAATGTCCGAAGCTACGAGCTTTCATATTATTGACTTACACTGACTTGTTATTTTTATCGTATGAGGGTTTGGCACGTGATCAGTGATAAATCATCTCCAACATTCACTATTGTTAATAAAGTAATGTGGTCTCATGTAGCTTTTTTTTAGTTCAACGTTGAAGATTCAAATCTCCAATCTTTAACCCTTAATTTATGTTTATGTTGGCTGTCCGGCGTGACTTTTTTTTTTTTTCAATTCACCAAAATTATCAAAATGGCATAAATTCCGCCTCTAAAGTTTCGTTTGTTTGGCGTCTGTCATATCCTAGTAAGAATGCCCTTATTGAAATTTTGGGCTCATGAATTGGGCTCTATAAGCCCAAATTTGGGCCGATATGACGTTGGAAATGGCCCAATACAAGATTGACACTGGACGTTGTTCCTAAATCATATGGGCCTCTACTGTAGAGTAGAGCCGACGTTCTCAATTGGTGGCAATAGTCCAATTTGATATTGCAAAATTTCAAAATTTCCAGTTGGATTAACAGCGTTTCCATCTTTCTAGCGCGTGCTAGCGGGGGAAGAAAGCAAGATTACAGAATTACAGATCGAGGTCGCTTTGCTTCTCCTTGAGATCCACTGAGCGAGAGACTGATACATAGTGGAGCTTCAGATCCATTAAAGTTTGTATTGAACGTTTTCAGAATTCCTAAATTCCTCGGTTTCTATATAGATGAGGCTGTTGCAGTTGGCCTTTGTGGTTGCTTTAGCTTCTGGATTTGCCGCCATTCTCATCTACATTAACGGCGTCTCCGACCTATGTGAGCGTCTATCTCTGTGTTTAATTTCTTTCAATTGGCATTCATTTTATGCGTATGATCGTCTAACTTGAGCTAATATGTATTTGTAGATGGAGGCTACCAACTTTCCGAACAGGATTTTGAAGCTTTGCAGTCTCTCCAAAGCAGTTTCCAGAAGTGTGTGGTGAGTTCTGGAAACCAATTGTTTCAAATATTTGCTATTTCCAAACTGGAAAGAACCTGTCGGTGAGAGCTTAGCTCGTGGCTATTGAGGCAGAAGCTTATGACGTCACATTCTCTGTATTTGAAGAGTTTTCGAATGCCTAGCGATGACGTTGAGGACCATGCAATTGCTTTTCGATGTTGATTTGTTTTACACGACGTTGATGATTGTGTGTTTTTGTCAGTCACGTGGAAAGTAGTTTAACATTTTGCTCCTTGAAACAAAAACCTTAATCTCTTGGATAATTGTACGTCCATCGTTCAATGGTGTTGCAGAGTGCGAATGGATTAGGTTTACAAGCTGTAGGTGGCGGAGATTATTGCCTAGTTTCAATGAGGTTTCCCCAAGATACCATTCCCAAATGGGTAGGTTCTCTTAATCATTCTGACGAACCGTTCATATATTTGTTGAGTAGATGAGTTCCAATTGAGTTGGAGCATCAAATCCCACATTTAGCTCCTGCCACATTGTGGTTTTTTTTTATCCAAATTTAGTTTATAATAAACTAGTACTCAGATTTTTGAAATTTACATGTAAACAGAAAGATCCTAAAACTGGTGAACTTGAAGGCTTATCTTACGAATTCAATCTCTGTGAAGCTGTGGCTACTTGGGAACAGGTAAGCTGTGCTTTTTATGTCTGATGAAAGATTGTATTCATCAACTTTTTAGGAGTAATTGAATGTTCACCAATTCTAATTTCTACTTTTATCTTAAAAAGTGCATCTTAAGTTAAATGAGCTCGTCTTTTTCACATTTCTCATTTAAAGGTTCATAAGCATGTTTACAAATTAATTATTATTTAGTGAGTGGACTGCTCAGGTGCGGAACAGTACCACCATATTGACAAGGGAGTACATTGATGGGTTGCCAAATGGATGGGAGGAGTATGCTTGGCGTAGGATTAACAAAGGAGTACTTCTGTAAGTAGTTACAGTTACTGAACTTTGTCTTGAAAGGATTGATAATTTTTGTTTTTTGTTTTGTTTATATTATCACTCCTTCGGGGGTTTGTATCTTTGAACAATTTTCTGTTCCTTTTCGTTAAATCAATGAAAAGTTCGTTTCTTGTTAGAAAAAAAGACACCATAGCACTAGTTGAAGATTTTTATTCAATTGAAAATGCCAACTATTCTGAATGTAAGTTTTTAGTTTTTAAATTTTAGACTCCATCATATTTGGGTAAACGTTTTCTAGTTTTATGGACTTTATTTCTAATAATCCAAGGAAACAATTTCATCTTAAGCTATAGTTTCCTGAAAAGTTCAGATGAATTTACAAATTACATGTTGGTGTGTGTTGAGCTCCAGATAAACAACCTTATCAAATGATCGTGGACAGTTTCCAGTAACTGATGCACTGTGACGTTTTTTCTGTTTGCAGTAATCGCTGCGAGAATAGAACTTTATGCATGGAGAAACTTTCCCTAGTACTTCCTGAAACACCACCATATGTTCCAAAACAATATCGCCGTTGTGCTGTTGTGGGAAATTCTGGAGATCTCTTGAAAACCAAATTTGGGAAGGAGATAGATGGTTTTGATGTTGTCATCAGGGAAAATGGGGCCCCCATACAGGTCCGCTTCTACCGATCTTATTAGATGCTCTTTTCATTTTAATAGTTTATCTTAGTCTGTTTTTTGCTCTGATTTTCGCAGAACTATACTGAACATGTGGGTAAAAAGAGTACCTTTCGTCTTCTTAATAGGGGATCTGCAAAAGCTCTTGATAAAGTCGTCGAGTTAGATGGTATCAATATATTTTCACTTCTTGTGAGGCCAATGACATAATATTGGAAGTATACTGAGTATCAATTGCATATTTTGCAGAAACAAGAAAGGAGGTTTTGTTAATCAAAACAACAATTCACGATATCATGAACAAGATGATTCAGGTTCTCGTACTGTTTGTAGTGGTTCCTTTTTAGAAGATCTTTGCCACAAATACATGATTCTAATTTCTATGCTTTCGAGCATTCTAGAATTGGTACTGGTTGGACCAAATGCCATGCTTTGTACCTTTTTAGCCATAGCTCCTCTTTTCCATCAAGGTTCAAGCAAAAAATGAAGGGTTTTATTTAATAGTTCCTTTTTGGCAGATTTTCCCTTATACTCTCCCCATTTTTCATGTCTTGAAGGGAGAAAAAGGGAAGAATAAATAAAAAGAGACTTAGGCTAATGAGCTAATCCCATATCTCTCTAACGAAATTAAAGATGAAATTTCATTTATTCCTTTATGGTAGGGTTTGGGTAAGCAAGCATGCTGGAAGGATGTTTTCAATCCTTTACTTAAGAAAGCTGTTTTATTGTCACCGTTATGCAATCAGACATCCTCTTGAATGTGAACCAATCAATTCAGGAGCTTGGAACTGAGCTTTCATTGTCCTTAAATATAAAGCATTATGTGAATTTCTCTCTCTCTCAATTTTTTTTATAATTCAAAGAATACCCTTCAGAATTCTTCGAGAGAAGTTAATATATTTTTATTCTAGTCATCAATTTTATCAGTCATCAATTTTGTCATTCATCAAATACATAGATTTCATACCACTAATGACCAATCATGTTTTTCATACCATTCTACTTGCGAAAATTTTGTTCCTAACTTGGATGTTGAACTGCTCCTCGCATAAAATTACATTGTTGTTGATTGCCTCTTTCCACCCTACTTATAGTCCTATTTTTTTTCAGGAGGTTCCAATAAAAAATCCTGTTTATCTCATGCTCGGTGCTTCGTTTGGTTCTGCTGCAAAAGGAACTGGGCTCAAGGCTCTTGAGTTTGCTCTCTCTATATGTGACTCAGTAGATATGTATGGCTTCACGGTTGATCCTGGCTATAAAGAATGGTATGAAATTTGTTGTTACGAATAATTTCTTCTATTTGAAATAAAAATATACCTTATCGATGAATGAAAATAAATTTTTTCAGGACAAGATATTTCTCAGAATCTCGGCAAGGTCACACACCTCTGCATGGTAGGGCATATTACCAGATGATGGAATGTTTGGGCGTAAGTCTGCTATAATTTATGTCACGTGTTGGAATAAGAAAATATTAGACTTTGAGAGTGGTAAATTTGAAATTGAAATTTCATTGTTGATTGTATTGAATGAGTTGAGTTCTATAATCCAATCCCCTGTATTACAGTTCATTTTAAATAATGATCTCAACAGAATCAGAAGAAAATTCAAAGTTTATAGATAAAAATTATTCAATATTTTATGAACAAGTATTTAACCACAAGTATTGAAGACATTTTTGCACGCTGGAACTTCATTTTCTTCTTAACCTGTTATTTACTAAGCAACATATTAAAGATGCATGTCTGGACGAGTTCTGTACTGACCATTTATCTTTCATCTGTTTTTGATTAGTTGGGAAGTAATATTACTTTTGAAACTGTGTAGCTTGTCAAAATTCATTCTCCCATGCGACCTGATCCTAACCGGGTGGTGAAGTGGGTACCAAGCCGAAACATGGTTACTGCTGCTAGAGTTGCATCTGAGAAACGATTAAGGTAACTGATTATTATCAGCAATCCAGCATCCACCATTGAACCACCCC